AACACTGCACCTGAAAAAAAAAAATCTGTACATATAAAAGGTCTTCCATGACTCAGTAAGAATAAAACAGAAAAGTAGAAAAATGGAAAAGGGAGATAAATAGAAGATGAAATAAAAATGGTTAATAAACATGAAAAGATGATTGACCTCACTAGTTATCAAAAAATGCAGATTAAAGAACACTTTTTTTTGACCATTAGACAAAAATTTTAAAGATTGATAATACAGCATTGGTCGTGATGTAGAGAAACAGACTCTCACTCATGGCTGACAGAAATCTAAATTGGCATTGTTCTTGTAGTGGGCAGTGCTACTCAGTATTTAACTGAATAATGACCAGCAATTCTGTTGATGAACCAAACTGGGGTCCACTCACTTGGTGCAGCAAAGCCAGACACCAAAGCAAGAGTTGCAGTGGGAGGAAGAGGCTTTATGTTATTTGTAGGGTACCATGTCAGGAGTATGTGTGGGCAGCAAACACTGAAAACCCGAACATCCAGGTGACTTATTAGCCAGGGTTTTTAAAGGCAGGAGTACATTTCAGATGGGCACAATTGCAAATCAGTACATGGAGGTTATACTTGGGCCTGGCCCAAAAGGATGGGATATCCTAAAAGGGGCTTGGGGTGGGGATGGATTGGATTCAGAGATTCTTAGGTTAGTGGAAAGGAATGTTAAGGTGGGTGTGACAGGCCCCTGAGGGAAATTTAGAACAAAGTATGGCGGTCACAGCTCAACTGCTCAGTTCACCCTCATGTGCATTTTCCATCTGATGGGAATTTCTGAAAATCAACTCGAGAACATATATTAAGCTGCCATCTTTTAGTTTCTTTAGGGAACCAAAACACCTCTGGCTCCCTTGGAGGGGCCGTTATTCTCATCTGGTTGCTCACTCACTTTTCAAGGCTAGCCAGATACCCAGGGCTTCCCCTGAAGGAACTTAAGATTTTCCTTTATTTCCAGGCTTGGGAGGCCCAGCAGGCCCCTAAGAGGGGTCCCTGCTCCATCTCCATTCCTTATCTGAGAATCTGTCCTTCAGAAATCCTTGAACAGGTACACAAAGATATCTGCAGAATATTCCTGTAATGTTTATAGTAACAGAAATCTGGAAACACCCAAGAATACTTATCAACAAGGAAACAGTTACTAATAGGTGAAAAACACAAGTTAGAGTGTAAGTATAATCCCCATTAGTATATAAAAACCAGGAGCAACAATTATACAAAAAAGCCTCTGGTATGAATGCACAGAAATAGGTCCACAGGGCGTCACCCCATGTTTCATCTCTCTGTAAGAAGGGGCTTTTATATTGCTTG